GTGTTGCAGTGAGACCTTATTGAATGCACCTTGTCCAAATTCATTTGTTATAGTAGTTATGATGATTTCTTGTGTCGGACTGTCAACTTAGTAAATTTCCAACACTGGGAATCGTCATCACTACTATAGAAGAGGAATTCAGATAAGGTGTGTTCAACTAGGTCGTCTTGATAGCAAGATTTAGTTGAAAAAACGAGATCATATTGCTTCTATACTTTACATGGGTTAGGGAAAATAAGTTAGTTTATAATTTTTTAAATAAGAAATAGGCTATTTTTTTATCTATAATAGGTACTTTCGTTATGAACCAACTGTACTTTTAACTAAAAAAAATTAAAATCAGTACTTATTCATGTTTCTGAATTACCGAGTTTTTTAACATTTAAATTCGATATATTATTTTTTTCTTGCTCACAATAATACAATTATTTCCCTTTATTAGATAGCGTGAAAATTAACGATAAAATGATGAGTTACAACTATATTCATGTCAAAAATCACAACTTATTTTCGGTCGCTAATCTCATAGCATTAAAATGAACAGTTCTTATCTCGCTTGCGTCTAATTCTTCTTTATGTATCATTTATTATTTCAGAAGAAAATGATATATAATCAAATTCTGGCCTTTATAAGATGGTAGGCCCACTTGAAGCGTTTTATAATAGCCATATTAAATCCCTATACAACTTATCTAATTTAAGTGTTGCTTCTAAACAAGGACGAATGAGATAAAATCTTTGTAGGAAATTAACAAATGTAGTTTTATGTTGAATTTAATAGAATTGTCCGCTGGAGGAAATGAACTCTATCTATCCTTTGGGATTCTCTTATTCAAGCTTTTATAGCTTTATTGAGGGTAAATTAATTTCCCAGAGTTTTGATGTTTTTCCATTTCCAGGAAATTCAATTTTCCGTCAATGTAGGACTTCAGTAAAATCTTTTGCTGGACAACCCCGACCTATTTTTTTTAAAGAAATTCGTCGATTACCCCATCTGCATATTGAGTAAAATGATAATTAAAATAGTGGATTTTTTAAATGAATTATATATATTTATATTACCAGTAGGCAAGGCATCTTATATGCAAGCATTACGCGAAGCATTTTATATCTTGTACTAAAATAATTTCGATTTTTCAACCAAAGCATCTCATACTCATACCACCTTCCAGCCTCATTAAGCATCCGTTTTTCCTACATTTA